TCACAGAGGGCTGAGTGATACTAGCAATCACAGCATTGTAAGAGGGGGACAGTTGAACCCGGAGGCCTCCACCCCTGTTTAACGATGGACGGTTTCTTTTCACAAAGATGGCCTCCTTTACTCCTCTCTCAAACCATCGTTCCTCTCTATCCAGGATGTGAACATCTTCATCCTTGAAAGAGTGACCGCTGGCCTGGAGATGAGTGTAGACCGCAGAGTCCTGGCCTGATGATGTTGATCTTCTGTGCTCTCTGATCTGTTGATCTCTTGAAACTGTGCCTGCAGTCAACCTACTTCACATATGAGGAGCAATATTATAGGCAGAAACATGGGTGTGCTATGGGGTCTCCAGTTTCTCCTATTGTTGCCAACCTGTACATGGAGGAGGTAGAAAAGAGAGCCTTGACGTCCTTTTCAGGGACACCACCAAGTCATTGGTTCAGGTATGTTGACGACACCTGGGTTAAAATTAAATCTCAGGAAGTCCAACATTTTACTGACCACATCAACTCTGTGGATAAAGACATCAAGTTCACACGAGAAGATGTAAAAATTGGCAAGTTGGCTTTCTTGGACTGTGAGGTCTCAGTCTCTGATAGAGGACATTTGCAAACTGAGGTGTACCGCAAACCCACACACACAGACCAGTATTTGCAGTTTGACTCCCATCACCGTTTGGAGCACAAGTTAGGAGTCATCAGGACTCTGTATCACAGAGCAGACAGCGTCCCCACTAGCTCAGGAGCCAGGCAGAAGGAGAAATCCCACACAAGACAGGCTCTAGAGCAATGTGGATATCCTAACTGGGTCTTCCTGAAAGCAGAGAAGAAACCCAAACAGGACTCCAGTCAGCCAACAGGTGAAAAGGAGGAACCCAGACCCAGACCAGTGGTCATTCCATATGTTGAGGGAGTATCAGAGAAACTGAGACGTTTATTTTCTAAACATAACGTCCCAGTGGCTTTTAAACCCCAAAATACATTACGGCAAAGACTGGTTCATCCCAAAGATCCAGTCCCCCGGCACAAACAGAGTAATATTGTGTATGCTGTTCAGTGTCAGGAGGGCTGTGATCAGTCTTACATCGGGGAAACAAAACAGCCACTGGCCAAAAGGATGGCCCAGCACAGAAGATCAACATCATCAGGCCAGGACTCTGTGGTCTACACTCATCTCCAGGCCAGCGGTCACTCTTTCAGGGATGAAGATGTTCACATCCTGGACAGAGAGGAACGATGGTTTGAGAGAGGAGTAAAGGAGGCCATCTTTGTGAAAAGAAATCGTCCATCATTAAACAGGGGTGGAGGCCTACGTGTTCAATTGTCCCCCTCTTACAATGCTGTGATTGTTAGTATCACTCAGCCCTCTGTGAACAGTAAGCAGCCATCAGTGTGCTAATGATCCATTGTTAGGCTGATGGTCCTTCTTGAGCATGTGATCAGCTGGTTTTGGTTGTCAGCAGCAAAACTGGTTGATCCACTCTGAGAAGGTGCTATTTAAGAGACTGAGCTGAAAACAGCACCTCAGACTGAAGAAGTCTCTCGGACGAGAGACGAAACTTTTCTACATTTTTTGTTGTTTTGCTTTGTTTTGGGTTTTTTTGAATGTCCAGAGGACCAGTTTTAACTTTTTTGGGGCTCATTAAGATTATTAACTGTGCTCTAAACCTAATTAAGATTATTAACTGTGCTATAAACCTCCTTAAGATTATTAACTGTGCTATAAACTGTTGTGGTGAGGTCTCCATTCAACCTTTATTTATAGAGATTAGTCTAATTGAGCCTTGAGGGCTCATTTACAAGAGAGACCTGTTTCCATTTTCCTGTAGTGAAGAACTTGGTGCTAGAAGCCAGGTTTTCAACAAGAAGTTGACAAACGTCAATGATCAAATTATCAAAGTTCTGCTGACAGCTCGACCACAAAACATTCGGAGGTACCAACCTTTGGGAATGATGGGACGTTAAAGGCGTCAATGTTCCTACGAGGCAGCTTTGTGCTGTGGGGGTGTGGTGGAGGTGGGGCTGGATGTGACGGCGGCGCGTGTCGGGGAGGTGGAGCCGGCGGTTCTGCCATGTCTGTTCCGCTGTCCCTCTTCTGAGGTGCCTTGTCTGCCTTCCTCAGCTTCCGGACGCAGGCGTACTCTGCCGTCTCTGGGGCATGGGGGGCAGACACGACCTGGGCCTCGGGTTCAGGCAGCCCTTCTTCCACGTCCCCATCTGGGTCTGGAGGCGCCGGGGTGTTGGCAGGTACAGCTGGTGGGGCTGGAGTGTCCGTCTGCCCAGCCCTGCCTACCATGGCGTAGAGGGAATCATCAGTACGTGCAGCGGAGGAGCGCTGGCCCACTTCAGAGTAAGTGTGCTCGCTGTCCTCTCCAGTCCCAGAGGGGATCTGCGGAAGCTGCCTGCCTTGGGAACGAAGGTCAGAGTTAGACCGGCAGCTGGACATGCTGGCTGGACGTTTCCGTGTAGATGCTTCGAGAGGCACGCATGGCCTGATCTACACCCTCCATAAAACAGAACTCACGTTGTTCAAAGTCTTCGCTCCCTCTTCACTGACTGCTGGAGACTAGTCGGTGAACTGCATTTGTGAGGGAGTCTCCAAAATGGCTCAAACTGTTTGCAGGGGTTTTCATTCTCCGTGGGTGAGTCGCAGAGACTCGTAGTCTGGTCTCTTTAATTTTTAACATGGTTTTAATGAATGGCAACGATTTTCTCTCAAAGTATTCACAAAATTATTGCAGGTGTCTCAAACTTATCTCAAACCTTTTTCAATTTAATTTCAACAAGTTCCCGAGAACTAGAGCTGTATTATGACTCTGATGCCACTAAGGTGACGCACTGCCCCCTCTTTTAAACCTCACCCCTCCCTGGTTTTGAACCTCTGGACAAACTTTATTGAAAGTTTAGATTTGATGTGCATCTACAACTGATTAACTTTTGGACGCAACCTGATTGGCCACAGCTAATTGACCTTGGCAAACACAAAATAAGTCCAGCTCCCACCCTTTTTGCAGAAATTGAGCTAAAACTTGGTGTGGTAGTAGCTGAGAGTGGATCCCATCACATACTTTAAGAAGTAACAGATCTTGTGAGATCTTTAGTATGAAAAGTGGAGCGCTGTACACATTATGTCAAGGAAGCTAGTTTAATTCTGAGTTCACGAGAGAAGACTTCATTGAGTTGATGAGTAATGACTGTCCTGATCTTTGTTAGTAAAATAAACTCTAACGTTCAACAAAAGTTTGTGCCTAACGCCCACATTACAGCTTTTATCAAAACACCTAATTATGACAACAAAATAAAAGTCACGCAGTTCTGTCATGGCTTTAGGTTTTAGAGTGCCATCTATAGTGTCATCTTCTGGCCCTCTTTGTAAACTCTCTCGATGCTGGACGGGAGCTCTCCTCTGACAGAAAGCTAAAATAAGCCGAGAGCTTAACAAATCGGCCACTTGTAACTGGCAACACGGCCCCCTGGTTGCCAAACACTCAAAAATCAGTGAGACTGCAATAAAAACATCTGCCTTTTTTTCATAATCTTGAGCCTCCAACTAGTCTCCAACAACGACTGTGATGGACTGGAGACCTGTCCAGGGTGTCCCCTGCCTCTCGCACAACGATGGCTGGACATGGGCACCAGTGAACCCTGCAACCCAAAAAGGAAGAAGCAGGTAAAAGAAAATGGATGGATAGTGTCTCCAACTAGACTCCATCAGTGTCAGCTGAGTGAAATTCTTCTCATCAGTTCTCTCCTCCTGGAGGAACAACAAAGCCCTCTTCAGTTTACTGAAAACCAGAGTAAACTGGGAGCTAACAGGATCCAAACTGCAGCGGGAGCAGGACGTATGTTTTTATGTCTTCAGACCTCCAGGGTTACTGGCACAGTGCCCACGAGCACAGCAAGGGAGCTCCAGGACTCGGCTCTCTTCTCAGCATCTCTGAGAGTCAGGCGTGTTGTCATCATCATGTCTTCTCAGCCCAGGAGGATCGTACTAAACTGTAAATGTGACGTGAATTCTGTTTTAGGGTAAATTTATGTTCTTGTGTCCTCAGATCTGACCATTTAGAGGGAATTTCGTGCTGGATTAGAGCTCATAACGTTCAGGGAAGAGCTGAGGAAAAACCTTCACACTTTAGTGATTGTCATGTTTTCAAATTAAACCAATTCATGGAGGTTTTCACTCTCTGCAGTTTAAAAGCAGGTCAAATCATCCAGTTTGTATAACAATCACTTCATCGTGCAGTAAAACAGACGAGACGTATTTTTGGTGATTTCCTCTCAGGAACAATCAGGTCCATTTTTACAACTTTATTCAGGAGTTATACTCACTTTTACCGTTGCAGTTCATCTTGTTCATCTCAGTGTCTGATTTACTGATGGAGCGCAGCTTTGACTGCCTGAGAATACCCTGACAACACACACAAACACAAACAAATACACACAGGACGGGTTACAGACTGTTTCCTGGTGCTTTGGGTTACTTCAGCTGCAAACACAACATTAAGTGTGCTGGCCAGTGCTTACCATATCCATGAGACGATGTTTGCCCCCTTCACCGGGAACATTGTGTGTCTTCGCCTTCCTGTGACAAACACACACCACTGTGTCATGCAGGACGCAAAACTGATGTCTAGGCAAGAAACATCCTTCATGTTCATGCCCCAACAACTGCTACACTTCCAGCTCAGTTTGTCCAATGAACATTAATTTAGAAGAAAAAGTCTTCAAGCAGTTTGCACACAGTCAAACTCACAGATTCAGTTTAAGCAAGTTCTTGTTGACAGTGGAGAGAAGAAACTTCCATGAAGCAACACCAGAGACATTTTTCTACTAATTTAAACAAATGAAAAAATGAATGTGAAAAATGGTAACTCCGATGTTCTGGAGCACACAGAATTGTGAGAATCACCCTAAAGTTTATTAATAATTTCAGTGAGGCCCTTTGATTTATTTCTACAATGTTGAAAATGTAGACTGAAACGCAGAATTGGATATTAAAGATTAAAATGTTTAGTAAAACCCAAAATGTTGCAGAACTTTGTAGATGTTAATCATAAATATTTTTTTTTTATTCTTAACAATCTATGTGTTTTTAATGTTTTACATGATAGACTTGGACCTGTCCAGGCTGTTCCCCTCCTATCGCACAGTGACTGCTGGAAATGGACACCAGTGACCCCCATGACCTGAAAAGGAAGAAATGGGTAAAGATAATGGATGGATGGATGGATGGATGGATGGATGGATGGATGATGGACGGACGGACGGACGGACGGATGGATGGATGGATGGATGGATGGATGGATGGATGGATGGA